TTGATCACATTTATGAGTCTCAAGGTAATCAAAAATCCCAGGGAAATAAATGGATCAACAAGGAGAGTTGGGTACAATTTTTCAGAGATTTCCGGTGACATTTTAGAGGTTCGTGGAATTCCATAGAAGAATCTAAGTCTGCGAGAGTATCATAGGGTGACTGGAAAACTGTGGCATCAACAGTTCTTTTCTCTCTTGCTATTTTTCATATTCCGTTAGATCAAGCTCATTAATGTTTAAGGTTATTGTACACTAATAAAAAATTATTTAATTTTTACTATTTTTAAAAATAAAACATATATTATTTTTTACCTAAACACAACTCAACCAATAGAAAAATAATCTGTAGAATTTAAACGGTCATAAAAAAAATAGTTAATTATGTATATTATAATATGTAAGAGAATTTATTTTAAAATGAAACTTTTCAAAATCTTTGCAAAAATGCCACTTTTTCAAAATTATTTATTCTATATAACATTTATGTTTGGGTTAACTATGTTGTATTACGGTTTAGTTTTGAAGGTTTAAGGTTTGTTAGGGGTCAAAATCTTTTTTAGGATTTTAAAATTGTAAAATTTAGAGTTTAAAAATTATTAATTAGTGTCATTTTCTAAAATGGAAAACTGATATACGTCATACTTTACTTATTTTAACATAAGATTTTCTATGAAAAATCTACTTGTCTCGGAATATTATCGGCTTCTCTAGTGTTTTCGTGTATTTTAGAGCCATGACAGGATTTGAAGCATTTTAGAGCAAAAAGGAAGGAATACAAGCATTTTTCGATAAGGACGAATCTTGTCCGTTGGATGTATCATGTCAGATGAAGATGTTCTGACCGTTGGATCAAGCTCATATTTGATCACGTGATAGATGAAGATCTCAGCTTCAAAATGAATATTTGAATGCCAAATCGGGCGGTTAGATTGCACGATACGCTCAATTTACTGAAGACTGATCCTAGAAGATTCGAGAAGATATCAATCAAGAAGCATAAGGGATGATCGATCGATCATCAACCCCATTCGATCGGACACTAAGTCCCTGGTCTTAACTCATAAATGATTTAACAAGGTAATCGACCGAATGATATATAAGATATTTTGCCTATTTTTATATTATTTTTAATATGTTTTTAATAAAAAATGAATGGTTTTTGGACTTAACATGTTTCTTTTAGTATTTTCGTGGGTTTTGAAGTCAATCTAGGTTTTTGGATCAATTTGCGCCTGAAAAGAGTGAAATCAAGCCTTTTCAGGGAAGAACAAATCCTGACCGTTAGATGTTTCATTCCACATGAAGAAATTTCCACCGTCAGATCAATCTTATATTTTACCACGAGATAGAAGAGTATCTCATCTTCAAAATGAATATTCGATCGCCACAATGCGACGGTTAGATATTGAAATATCATCGATCTACTAAAATCTGTTAGAGTAAGGATCAAGCTAAAGGCGGTTCATAATATCTATCAGTGATCGACCAAACGCCAGACACGATCGATCGGACGCAAACTCACTGGTTTTGACGGACAGACGCTTTTACATGGTGATCGACCGTTCACAGGAGGTGACCGATCGATCACCTCTTCCGAGAAAATTGGGAAATTTTTTTTTCGACGTTATCTCCAAATCTTCAAGGGATTTATCCTAAAACTGACCTCTTACCTATATAAAGACAGGAGCAGTCACGACCACCTTTATCACGCTAACCACCATCATCACTTCAAAGCTTTTAGTTCTTTAGAAGTTTTAAAGGCATTCATCTCTTTTTACTTGTTATTTTGCTTGTTTGG